GAATCCAGACGTCAAACTCTCGTCGAATCGATACCGATCTGGCATCGATCGCAGCCAACAACAGTTGGATGGTTCAAGTTTATTCGGTTCAAGGTCTAGGACGGGAACAGACATCCCCAACTAATTTAACTTGGCACGTCGTCAGGATTTTCACTCTAAATTCGCGGTACGATCGATTCACTTTGGGCCGAGGATCGATTCCTCCATTTTCTTCCAATTGAACTAAATAATAAAACATTGTCAACTTAAAGCCTCGCCCAGTGTTTTACTCGCTTCGATCCAGAACATTCTTCGATTGTTCAGAGCTGGTCAGAGGCATCGACGAAAGCGAGGCCGTTGAAACCGATTCGAACAGGTTGCAAGCCGTGGAACACCGTGCACACACTGAAGAGAGCCTAAAGAGATTTCCTTTGCCCCCCCGTGTCATAATTCCAGAGAAAACGCGCAAGGCTAGAAAACCGGTTTCCCGCGGCTGTCCTTTTTATCAGTCTGCCTCGAAACGTTATATACAGCTGGTGGGAATAGCGAGATTGTGAATTAAAGCATCGTTTGTCGTCCATATCGACTCGTGGAATGAGTTCTTTTAATAGCAAACCAAACAAACTTCTTATTACGTATGTACAGAGCGAGCGGAAAATCACTTCCTACTAGAATAAATTAAAAATTTTGAAACATTTTAAAAAATCAATTTTTTTTCTTTTTTCTTTACAGATCAAAGTACGGGGAAAAATTTAAAATTAACAAACTTAAATTTAATTGGAAATTAATGAAATTGGTTCTGTCTTGTGTTTTGATGTTTTATTGAAAAAGTCACTACCTACTAAAATAAATTCGTAATTTTTTAAAATTAATTCCTTTTTCTTACAGATCAGAGTACGAGAAAAATTAAAAATTAACAAACTTAAATTTAATTTGAAATTAATGAAATTGGTTCTGTCTTGTGTTTTGATGTTTTGTTGAAAAAGTCACTACCTACTAAAATAAATTCGTAATTTTTAAAAATTAATTCGTTTTTTTTTTTACAGATCAGAGAACAAGAAAAATTTAAAATTAACAAACTTAAATTTAATTTGAAATTAATGAAATTGGTTCTGTCTTGTGTTTTGATGTTTTGTTGAAAAAGTCACATACTACTAAAATAAATTCGTAATTTTTAAAAATTAATTCTTTTTTCTTACAGATCAGAGTACGAGAAAAATTAAAAATTAACAAACTTAAATTTAATTGGAAATTAATGAAATTGGTGGAAATTCTCTCTTATGTTTTATTAAAAAAAAAAAAAAAAAATAGGTGGGAAGAAACTTTTGGCCCACCCTGTACATTTGTTAACCTGGGAAGATCGTTGTTTATCGATTACGCAAGATTGGTGTTTCAAATGTATTTCAGAAATCACGGTGATTTGTATCACTTTAGTCGAGCGTGTAATTAACCTGCAATTAACCTGCAGTTTAATTGGCAGCCCGATTGTAATATTTGATGATACTTGAATGAAAGGAATTAATTAATTAATGAGCGTGGGCGACTCCACGCGTGATCAGGCCCCTTATCAGACTGGCTGTTCTAAATTACGACGAATCATTGTTTGTTATCGTTACGTTATGTATTTAATCGGAAATACGTAATACACGTTTTATCTAAATTTAGATTATTAAATAATTAATAATTTGATTATTAATGGACAGTTGAGTAATTTAAAAATGGTACATCAGTGCTATAGTGAAATATTCTAATATCTAATAAATTTTGTACTATAAAATCTTTCTTAGAATAATAAATAGAAACTTTATATTTTAATAATTCTATAAATGGACAGTTTTCGAACAATTGGGCAATTTAAAAATGGTACATCAGTGCCATAGTGAAATATTCTAATATCTAATGAACTTTGTACTATAAAATCTTTCTTAGAATAATAAATAGAAACTTTGTATTTTAATAATTCTATAAATGGACAGTCTTCGAATTAATAATGGACAGTTGGGCAATTTAAAAATGGTACATCAGTGCAATAGTGAAATATTCTAATATCTAATAAATTTTGTACTATAAAATATTTCTTAGAATAATAAATAGAAACTTTATATTTTAATAATTCTATAAATGGACAGTTTTCGAACAATTGGACAATTTAAAAATGGTACATCAGTGAAATATTCTAATATCTAATAAATTTTGTTCTATAAAATCTCTCTTAGAATAATAAATAGAAACTTTATATTTTAATAATTCTGTAAATGGACAGTTTTCGAACAATTGGGCAATTTAAAAATGGTACATCAGTGCAATAGTGAAATATTCTAATATCTAATGAACTTTGTACTGTAAAATCTTCCTTGGAATAACAGATAGAAACTTTCCATTTTAATAGTTCTACGAATCGACGCACACGCACGGGCTTTCGTGACTAGCTCTGTCAGTGTGTTGATAAACCTTTACCTTCACGTCCGCCAATCACTGTGATCTATCCTCGAACTTGTCTACCACTCGTTCCCTCAGTTTCCTCGTTCCAATCTTCGGCAAACTTTTACATGAAATTGCTCAACCTTGAACCATGCACGTAACTAAAACGCGTATCTATCTCTTTACACACAAAACTGGTTATTTCGAGCGAGGGTCACACGGCGAATCGATTACCATTATCTACAAACTCTTTTTCACCAATAAGACAGAAGTTTCGCCTGTCCACGACAAATCGGGTCATAGTTTGCCCGAAAAGTATTACTTCTTCACTGTAACTGACTTTAATGTACATCTATTGTTTCACATTTTACATTTTGCTTCGAGCAAAAAAAAAAAAAAAAAACGAAAATTCATCACCCGAAACGAAAACACAGACGTTCCAGTCCCTTCAGTTTATCCAGTTTCTTGTTCAATGATAACGACTGAGAGATTTTGTAAAAAAACTGAGCGATACGGCGTTGTTTTCGGCACGTTCAATTGACATCGATTCGAACTCTCGTTGATTCTCGTTGACGAGTTGGATAAGGAACAACAACTGAGACAGTGGCAGCCGGTCTGTCCGCATAAGTAAGTACACACAATCGTGGAATGACACTTTCGTGGCAGTCTCTCCCACTTTCGAGCCGATCCTTTCCAGGCATTCGGCGTTTCTGCGCAACGATGATCTCGTCAAATCTCAGTAAATTTACAGCTACCTGCGTCAATCGTGAACTGAACGCGCGAATGTACAAGGCGTGTGAAAAGTTTTTTTCTTTTTTTAATAATCGAAATACAAGAGAGAGCTAAATTCTATTAATTTCAAATGGAACTTTTGAAAATTATTCCTTTCAAACGTTGAGAAATATTACGGACTTATTTTAGTAGAAAGTGACTTTTGGCCCATCCTGTATAATGTATAATAAATTGATCTCTTTACGAGTAGTTATGTCTGTACACAATTTCATAATTCCTGTAGCTGATTTCGAAGTCACTTTCGAAACAACGACACGGAATTAAGCGTTTAACAAAAATTTCACTGCCTGCTGCTTATTTCGCATTTGAACAACGAGAGAATGACGAACACAAAAGTAAAAACAATGGCCACGATCCGATTATACTTATAGTATAAATGAACATTCATATTTACAGTATACATGAACATTCGTTTACAAACGAAGAACATGATTATTCATGTCGTGTTAATAACAAATTACAAAAAAGATTAAACTGTCTTCCTGCGAGCTCCGGCTCGTAATGCTGAGTGTAAAGTTGCATAATTTTTCGAACGTGATATGCTGCTTTAATTGCCGCGGTACAATTCCAGAGGCGATTTTTAATTAAATGTGTCCGGCACACGTTTCATTATGAAACGCCAATTCGCTGAGTCTTTCGTTTTGAAGAACACTGCCAACGAATATCAACGTCACGGCGTTGCATTAACCTTCGTTTCATACGTTTCGATTAATTTAAACAACAAATTGCAAACAATTCATTCGCACATGACGTCTCGCGTCGACCGAATAACCTTCGCTTTGATATTTTATTTACAATTGTTATTACATCCGCTTCGAATTGAAAGAGAACAATATTATACAGTACAATGCGTATATGAACCACATTCATCGTCGTAACGTTTTATTTTATATTTCAATTGTTTTCTATTTCGTGACATTACAGTTCTGTTTCAACGATCGTTACGTCGTTTCCATTACCTTTCTCCATCTTCTCAAGAATAACTAAGACACTTGCTTGACGCTGTCACGTTCAGCAGAGCATTCTGCTAGTGCATTTATACTTTTCAACTTGAGTATGTTTTTCATTTTATTTAATTAATTTAATTCAATTACTTCTTACTACGTCTGAACCTTTATTAATTAATCCTAATGGAAATTTGTAATACATTAGCGCTGATCGATAATACGTACTTGTGTAATTGTGTCAACGAGTGGAAGGATTAGACTTAGAGGTGGCTAACTGGCGGCCCTTGTCCCCACTTTCTTGATCGCTATCCCCTCCACTGCGTCAGTGGGGCGTGGAAATTTCAATGTAGTGGGGAGATCGATGTGGAGGGGGAACGCAGTGGAGGGGGTAGCGCCAGCGATGAGAAAAGTAGAGGCAGAGGCAAGGGCCCGCTGGCCGCCAGTCTCTGGATTAGACTATACATTGGATAATGATGTATATCTGGATTAATCGATTTAATAAGTTTAAGCTCTCCTTATACTTTCATTTCGTGCCAAACGTCTTTGTGCAAGTTATTCATAGAAAACTCACTTTCACTGAACTAACAATTAGCAATTTGTACGTCGAAATTGACAAAGAAAAAGATAATATTTTACAAATTATTGAATGAACATGTGTAATTCGTGGGATGATTAATCTTAACATTTCACGATTATCAAAAGTTTTACAATTTTATAATTTCTGACTGTCCTTGCTTCGACGTCAAGTTCCACGATGATCTAAATTACGAAAGTTACAATTTATTTCATGGATATTCCAGTTCTTTGAACATTAATTTTAATTGTATCAAATTTTCTAGAAAACTTTAACAACACCTAGTAATTTGATATCCTGGCGAAAGTGTACAATCACTTTCTTTTTAGTCGAAAGTGATTTACAGAAGATAAACGGAATCTTAAAAAAAAGAACATTCAATTTCGCTTCGTTTGAAACAAATCTTCGTTTAAATTGCATAGAAGTATACAACGTAAGCAATGAACAAGATGACAAGCAAAAGCTAAGGACACACCTGAAACCAATCGAGTCATCTCCAAATCGTGCAAGTATTATCTTTGCTCGCCGTGATGATAGTGTCGCCGTTGTACGAGAACGCGCAACTGAAGACGTCGTCTGTGTGACCATCCAGTGTCTGTACGCAGCATCCATTCTCCAAGGACCATAATTTCGACGTTCTGTCCAAGGACGACGTTAGCAGATGCTGGCCATTTGGACTGAAACAGACTGCGCCAATTTTGTCGTCAATTTCCAATAATTGAGAAACACTCTCCATACTTTATTTTCATTCCTTTGCTTATTCATTATTATTACTTTGCTCTTCTTGTTATTACTATTATCTATTATTGTTATTTATTGTTTCTAGTAAATTTTGTTTCCAACTTAAAAGACAGAAGATAGAAAAATTTACACAGTACATGCATCTGAATTATTCTACTGGTAAAATCCTTTACACTTATCCTAAAGTAAAAACATCACAGTAGTTGTTTATATCAATAAAATAGATTATTATAGTCGAATATCTAATATTTTTAAAGTTGCATTTTTTCTGAAGAAACTGAAGAACAGAATCGAATTATTTGATTGCAGGCACACAGTCACCTTTCGAGACCTCTTCTCGATGACCTTTCATCAAGGCTAACTGCTGGAAGTCGCTGGTCACATCCCAAACTCGCGCGGTGGTGTCGCTGCTGGCGGACGCCAACTTTTTCCCATTGTTGTCGAAGGTCAGGTCCAGGACCTCGTCGCCGTGTCCTCGGAGAGTGGCCAGGCAAGAGTTCATCCTCGTCTCCCAAACTTTGGCCGTTTTGTCCATGGACGACGAGCCGATCAACGAACAGTCGAAGTTGTAGACGCAGTTGGACAACTCTGACCGATGACCAATTAACACGCTTGCGCGGCTGAAGAAGAAAGTAAATAAATAAACATGGAATAAATTTGAAATTCTATTATTATAAATATTACAATATACAACATTTATATAATGTATTATAATATATATTTATAATCCAGAATATATATTTATATGTATATATAAATGTACATTATTTATAATGTACGTGTAAATATGCATTTAAAAATTTTATAATTATAAATATTACAATGTATAATGCATATTTATAAGTATATATAAATATGTACATTACATATAGGCAAATTTGAAATTTTATAATATCGTATATAGGCATATTACAACAGAAATAATAGAAATCAGTAGTAAGTAAATAAATAAATATGGAATAAATTTGAAATTTTATTATTATAAATATTGTAATATATAACATTTATATAATATATTATAATATATAATTATAATCCAGAATGTATATTTATATGTATATATAAATGTACATTATTTATAATATACGTGTAAATATGCATTTACGAATTTTATAATTATTAATGCATACTTATATGTACATATAAATATGTACATTACAAATTTGAAATTTTATAATATCATGTATGGGCATATTACAACAGAAATAATAGAAATCAATTACATTAATATTAACTTGAATTTGTTGCATTAGGCAATATGAGTATCTATTATATATGTATATTACAGATATTTTTAGTCAAATTTTTTGAAAATAAACAAAATTCGAATAAAAAAACCTCTTTTTTGAAAATTAAAAATACTATTACATGTATATACTTCACTATAAAGAATAGTTTTTTTTAAGTTACCTTGAAAAAATGACTGATAGCTCTCTTGTTACATTCTAATTGTCACATTTTAATTTGTTTTCTTCTTCTTCAGAACTCACCTGAAAGTCCTCACATCCCAAATACTGACAGTACTGTCGAAGGAGCCAGTTATCATTTGATTTCCATCATTATTAAAATGTAGAGCAATTATTTCTGCCGTGTGGCCTCTTAACGTTCCTAATTCCTCACCTACGACAGAAATAGAATTGAATTAATTTTCTCGTTCTATGTAAAAATATCAAACACTTGGAAGACGACAATTCTAATTCATTGACTCTTACAATTTAACTGATTTCAATTTATTTTAAGGATTAAAGATAAAATTTTATTTCTAAATTCAGAGGGTGATGAATATACCTGTTGTTAAGTCAAATATCTTCGACGTCATGTCTAAAGAACCTGTTCCAATTCTGTTACAATTGGGCGAGAATCTAGCAACAACTACTTCAGCGTTGTGTCCCCACACAGTTAGAAAGCAATGCCCTGTTCGAGAACACCAGACCTTAACGGTCTTATCAAAGGAACCGGTTACTATTTTGTCTCTGAAAAAACAAGCATTACATCAAGGATTAATTAAAAACAAGGGTAATAAATTATGATCAATACAAATTTTTTTTAATATTTTTTTAGAGTAATTAAATTTCTTCTCTGACAGTGACTTCTGTTTTTAAATTATACATCATACAACTTTTTTTCAGCACACAGTTCTTTGTGAGAGACAAGGAATTTCTTTTCTTAATCGAGAGACACTTGATTATTCTCGCGTTCCCCCTGGTTTCCGGTCGACGACACACTATACAGATGAATTGTTAAGAGTAATGCTCAAACGAGACGCACGAGATTGGGTTGTTGAAGGACACGGTGTAGACCACATTCTTATGGCCTTCGAGAGTAAGAAGCTCCGTTCCACTGTCAATGTCCCAAACTTTACACGTTCGGTCATAGCTGCCTGTCAAGCATCTAAAAAAGTTTATTAACAGTTTTAATAACAAAAACATTATGTCTATTCATATTTTTCTATTCATATTTATGTCTATTTAAATTACTATATTTCAATATAAATGTACATCAGTGGTTTCCAATCTTTTTTTTTTTTTTGGCCATGCCCAACCTAAGTCCCACCCCTGTGACACAATAATTCCTATTATTTAAAAAGTGAATTTTTTACTTTTGTGGAGGAAGCCTGAAGGACTATTAACTTGGTCTAAACAAGCTTCCAAAGAACCTGACATGCATGAAAGAAAAAAAATTAGAAAGTCAAATTTAAAGAAATACAAGAAATTCACTGTTAATAACTGATTCTCGAATTGCCCCCCTCACCCCCCAGAAAATCAAACTGTCCCCCTATGGGCTCCACGTTGGAAAGCACAGATGTACACGTAGATGTCATAATTGCTCTCTCTGTTTTCTAAAAAATATAATTTCTTCTTAAAATTGGCCGACATCAAAGGCAAAAACATTATACTTATTCAAATTTCAATGTATACATATGTACGTGGAATATTTGCTCTCTCTCTGTTTTCTCAAAAATATCATTTCCTGTTTCAGTTTCAAAATTTGCCAATCGACTTCCAAGTAGAATCTTACAAAAGCAGAGCAGCAGAGTGGCAAAGTCGATAAATGGTGTAATTAAATTTTCAACTGCGCACGAACAATTTTCAACGGGAAGTACCTTTTACCTAATTTATCGAACGCGATATTCGTAAGGGGCAGAAGATGGGTCTGCAAGGTTTTGTATTTGTAGTAGCGCTTCGCGTTTGTATCGCAAACTTTGGCCTGCAGCTTCTGCAGGGTCTCCACTAACTGCTCCATTACACTTTCGGTTATTACAGGCTCGGCCGCTTTTATGCTCTCCGCTAATGCTCTTATGTCCGTTCTGCAAAACGACACGTACACTCTCGTTTACTTCCTGCCAAGTAATTATACACCTATTCCTCTTTCTTTCTTTTTTTCCCTGTTTTCCTTTTCTCTCTCTTCTTTCCTTTTTTTTTTTTTTTTAATAATAATTCGACGAACTGTAGATTTAATTATAACATGCTTCTCCCTCGACTGTGTTCTACGCTTCACTGCGTTCCAAATGAAAGGATTTTAAAATGAAATTCAACGCTTGTTTCCTTTTTTCAGATTGCCCATGAATAAAATAAAAAGTAATATCGAAATACTATGTTAAAGGTAATTAAAGGATTGCTGTACAAACTTTTCTTCAGTAAGAGATGTTAATTTTGATATTTTTGTTCCTTTTTTCAGAATCTGATATATTTTCTTTGTTGATGAAGCATTGAGTATTTTACCAAGGTATTATAATTTGGTGTTTCAAGCAGTATCATTTTTATCTTTAAATTCTTTTTCTTTTTAATTGAAATTACTACTTCGTACCAGTTGAAACTGTTATAATATTTAATAGAATATTACCCCACTTTTTAAAATACAACGTAACAATATGTGTTTCTATGAAAATTGTCACGTATCAATGAAAGATGAATTACCAAGAAAAGATGCTCTACATTTCAACACCCAATTTCTCGAAATGTCCATTTAAAAATATACGTATATAGTCACAATCAGACTGCTACTACTATCAGATAAAGGACGATTCAAATCTGACAACAGAGATATAGAAGCAAGAGGAAACTTCTAAAATTTGCACGAAGCAAAAAAAAAAAGAAAGAAAATATATTAAAAGAGTAAATTACTCAGCAGACAGATCGAGAAGATCGATCATCTTCGTTTTGACATCTCCACCTTGTGTATACTCCAAGGCGAGACCTGGAAAACGACAGATAAAGAGACAGAAGGTGGTTTCAAAAGGGCGTTAATTTCAAGTGGCAATTTGATGTCGCTCGGTTGGTATACCTGGCGGGAAGTAACGAAGCAAAAACTTTAGTAGCTTCATGTGAACATTGCATTTACAGCGACGTCCAGTGTTTCAGACGGCAGCTAGGTTATCGCTGCTGTTTCACGGTAACTGATTTAATTATAAAACTGTGGATGTCGTGCACGCACGTGAATTACGCACGAAACGCGGACGTTAGTTTTACCCGCAGCTGTCAATGCAGTGGCCCGCGTCTAACTGCCTCTCTCGCCGTAATTGCAGAAATAACCGAATCGCGTTACCTCTCGCCTCTGTTACCAAGGTACGTTTGGTCGATTTCCGGAATCTTTTCGTGAAATTCCCTCGCTAACTGCAAGCACAAACGAGGTATATGACATATGTTTGTGACATTGCGTACAATGTATTTTGAGATTGTCGTAACCTCATTACCATTTTTCTGTCACGTCCTGTCGTACCGATTCAGACAGATTATGCACCACAGCACTACTAGCGATGAGAATTAAAATCAAAAAATATACACAGTGTTTCCAGATCTGTTTCGACAATTATTTACCGAATTGAACGTGGTGGTACTTTATCAATGAAGGAATATAACGATTTGAAACAGAGATCGATGAAAATTGAGATGAAAAATTTAACATATATTCGACCATTCGACTACAATATCCATTTAAACGTACGACATACATAAATGCAGTTATAACTTAAAAATTAACGTCGTGCAAAATTTAAATTTAGTTTCAGCCGATAAAAAATTAATAAATTATTACATTTAACATTGTAACATATCATGAAAGTGTAATTTTGCGATAGAATTGTAAAAATTATTAAATTATTGATTAGCATAATAGAAAGTTCTTTGAAATACTAAAAAAAATTATCAACTGTTCCGGATCATTATCGACCAAAACATTAGATTAAGTGTACGGAGACTTATTACCAATTGAACTTTCGTCGTGTGCACATCGACCAAAATTTATGAGTGAGTTTTTAAATAATATTTCTGAATATTCTACTTGTTTAAAAATTATCTAATATTTCTAATAATTTATTTGTAACAATTAAACAATAAGTACTCTTTAATAACATTTCCAACGATTATTTAAAACTTTTGGTTGATCATTCATAGCGATCGAGCCAGAAATACGTTTCTACGAAATTTTAATAAACTGTTTCTCGTCGACCGATTAACGAGGCCAGGTAAATTTCGATCGGTACGAAAATAAGAGCTCAGTATAAATCAAACTTTCGTTGCGTACGCATCGACGAAAATTTTAGAAGCAAATTCTTAAATAATATTTCTGAATATTCTAATTATTTAAATTCTCATTTCTTACTATTCTAATTATTTATATACAAATTATTTAAACATTATCTAATATTTCTAATAATTTATAACAATTAAATAATAAATTCTCTTCTGTAATGTTTCTAAGTGTTATTTAAAATTTTTAACTAATAATTTATAAGAATCTTGAACGATGTACTTAAGAGAAATGACTTTGACTTATTGAATGAAATGATTAACTTAATTGTTCAATCGTTTAATATAAAAATTGTGAAAATTAATTTTGAATAATGTCTAGAAATATTGTAGAAATAATTTAATTGTTTCAAATGAATTATTCAAACTGTAAAATAATGAATTTCAATGATATTTTTGTATATTAACAATTTTAACTATTTACTTGTAACAATTGAATCAGTGATTGAATTCCCAAGCATTATTTCATTGTTTCAATAATTCATTTGTAATAATTAAATTATTTTATTTACAATAACGAAAACGATAGTTACATAATACATATATTTCTCGCTGTCTAAAACAATAAACGAGCGAAAATTTTTATACGTTGCGCTTGTGTGTTATTCTGAAGCCACGATCACTGCTTAACTCGATTTTTAACTACATAACTTTTCTCTACATAAATTTCTATTCAATATACATCAATGCAGTTATAACTTAAAAATTAATATCATAAAAATGTAAATTTAGTTTTAGCCGATAAAAAATTAATAAATTATTACATTCAACATATTCAGAAAACTGTAACTTTGCGATAGAAATGTAAAAACTACTAAACTGTTGATTACTATAATAGAAAAATTGTTTTTTGAAATACTAAAAAAAAATTGTCAACTGTTCTGGATCACTGACGACCGAAATATATATTAACCTTAAGCGGAGACTCGTTATCAATTAAACTTTCGTCGTGTACACATCGACCAAATTTTAGAAGTTTGAAAAAAAATTATCAACTGTCCTGGATCAATGACGACCGAAATATATATTAACCTTGAGCGGTACGGAGTCTCATTACCAATTAAACTTCCGCCGTGTGCACATCGACCAAAATTTAGAAGTGAGTTTTAAATAATATTTCCGAATATTCTAATTGTTTAAACATTATCTAATATTTCTAATAATTTATTAACAATTGAACAATAAATTCTCTTCTATAACATTTCTAAGTTCTGTTTAAAATTTTTAGTTAATCATTTGTAGTGATCGAGTCACAAATACACTTTTAAGAAATTTTCGCATCATCAACGACCGAAAGATCAGATTAATGTCAATCGATACGGAGACAAGAGGTCATTACCAATTAAACTTCCGTCGTGTGTACATCGACCAAAATTTAGGAGTGAGTTTTAAACAATATTTCCGAATATTCTAATTGTTTAAACGTTATCTAATATTTCTAATAATTTATTTGTAACAATTGAACGATAAATTCTCTTCTATAACATTTCTAAGTTCTGTTTAAAATTTTTAATTAAATTAATTTGTAGTAATTGAGTCACAAATACATTTTTAAGAAATTTTCGCATCATCAACGACCGAAAGATCAGATTAATGTCAATCGATACGGAAACAAGAGCTCATTACGAATTGAATTTTTGTCGCATGTATGTACATCGACGAAATTTTAGATTTTAGTTTGAAAAAAATTATCAACTGTTCTGGATCACTGATGACCGAAATTATACGTATGTTAATCTTGAGCCACGTTAACCAATCAAACTTCCGTTGTGTGCACATCGAACAAATTTTAAGAATTTGAAAAAAAATTATCAACTGCGTCTAGATCACTAGACGACCGAAATAAATATTAACCTTGATATTAAATATTAAATAACTTCCGTACGCATCGATTAAATATTAGAAGTGAGTTTTCAAGTAATATTTGTGAATATTCTAATTGTTCAAACATTATCTAATATTTAAAGAATGTTAAAAATGTGATAAAAGTGTTCAAAGTTAGTTAGAAAAGTGACTGTGTTCCAACGCGTAACGCTGAAGAGAGTTTGAGAAGCAGAAGCATCAGCAGATGTATCCAAGAAGTTCGGAGGCATGGAATATAATCAAATACAACGCAACCGAATCTTAATCTACAATTCTGACTTCAACGATCGGTAAGTCTTATGATTTAATTTCGTTGGGTTAATACTTGATCACGATAATTTGAACTTGAACCATGGCTTGTATCGTAGTTGTACAAGATACACTTTGATAGTTACCATTCATTAACAATTAATATACGTAATAGACGTCATATTTTTGCATGTTCATAGATAACATTAGTCTAGCAATACTATTGTTATTAAAATATTATTAGATACTTTCTGAATTTCTCTTTGAATCTATAATTTTATTTCGGAAATAATTTAGCCATTTACTATTAATCAGTCAAACAAGAATATTCCTTCGATATTTTAAATTAGTCATTAGATCGATCAAACAATTGTTCCTTATTTTACGAATACCGTTCCTCTTTCTAACAAATTACTTGAATTCGATACAAGCTGAAACCTGTGTGAGAAATACATGAAACAGTACTGATTTAAAATAAATAATAATGAGACCCGTGCGTAGTCACCTCCACGTGGTGGGTCTTGGTAATTGATATCGTTTTACAAACGTCAAAGTTAGTAAAACGTCATCAAGCTAAATTGTAGAACGATAAACGATAAACTTTAATGTTTGTGAAACGATATCGAGCTAAGAACTACGCAATCTACAGTTCGGTTTAGATAGTGAAAATTTCTGTTCATTCCTTATTTCACAATCTAAACTGAACTGTAGGGACAATTAGTCGATAAGTAAACTATTTGACCCCCCAGCGGGGCACCGTGGGACGACGAGGGATATCGCAGGGACATCGTGGGATGCGTGCGTCTTAGTTTTAAGTTGCGTGCGTTTAGTTTTAGTTAATCATAAGATAGTTAATACGTGTAAATTCACTGTGAGCGCATTCTGTACAAAGACACGTTTATTTAACTTGAGACGAAATTAGGGACACCTCTTTTCTTCTCTTCTTTCGTTCGTTGTTACTATTGTTACTTTCATTACACTAAAGTAGAGTTACTATTGTCACTGTCATTGCACAAGAGTAGAGTTACATTTGTTATTGTCATTGCACTACAGTAGAGTTACTTTTGTCACTGTTATTGCACTACAGTAGAGTTACTTTTGTCACTGTCATTGCACTACAGTAGAGTTATTTTTGTCACTGTTATTGCACTACAGTAGAGTTACTTTTGTCACTGTCATTGCACTACAGTAGAGTTATTTTTGTCACTGTCATTGCACTACAGTAGAGTTACTTTTGTCACTGTTATTGCACTAAAGTAGAGTTACTTTTGTCACTGTTATTGCACTACAGTAGAGTTACTTTTGTCACTGTTATTGCACTACAGTAGAGTTACTTTTGTTACTGTTATTGCAAAAGAATAGAGTTACTTTTGTCACTGTCATTGCACTACAGTAGAGTTACTTTTGTCACTGTCATTGCACTAAAGTAGAGTTACTTTTGTCACTGTCATTGCACTAAAGTAGAGTTACTTTTGTCACTGTCATTGCACAAGAGTAGAGTTACATTTGTTATTGTCATTGCACTACAGTAGAGTTACTTTTGTCACTGTTATTGCACTACAGTAGAGTTACTTTTGTCACTGTCATTGCACTACAGTAGAGTTATTTTTGTCACTGTCATTGCACTACAGTAGAGTTACTTTTGTCACTGTTATTGCACTAAAGTAGAGTTACTTTTGTCACTGTTATTGCACTACAGTAGAGTTACTTTTGTCACTGTCGTTGCACTACAGTAGAGTTACTTTTGTCACTGTCATTGCACTACAGTAGAGTTACTTTTGTCACTGTCATTGCACTACAGTAGAGTTACTTTTGTCACTGTTATTGCACTAAAGTAGAGTTACTTTTGTCACTGTTATTGCACTACAGTAGAGTTACTTTTGTCACTGT